CGCCTAACATATCAGGGTGCTGGCCTACCCCTTCGGTCTCTTTCAACTGGTAACCGCCTAGCATATCTGGGTGCTGGCCTACCCTTTCGGTCTCTTTTGACCGGTTACGGGGACTATTTCACCCCCTACTATTACCACGTAATAACATAGCATACACACACATAAATCTCAACAGATAGTGACATACCAGACAAGTATCACAAAGACAATTATCTCTACTGTAACAACTACTAGTGGGCCGGCATTGGTGCCTTCGACTCACTCATACCGGGAAGGTAACTCACCTCAACTGTGTTCCGAAATCGTGCTCTTCGGGTGGCTCGGGACTCCTTTCCCTAAAGCATAACAAGTCCGCCTTTGCCTTTCTTCGCTGTGTAATAGATGGCCGGAGGAAGAAGCGAAGCTTCTAGAAGGCCGACCACTACATAGAGAGATCCATATACCAGTCATGAGCTCTCCGACCAGGGGTTACCAATTCGTTATCAGCGGCTTTCAGTTATTGGGTCCAAGTATAACTCTCTTATGGCCCAATTTCTAATTCATGTCCCAAGGCAAGGTCCCCTAGTCCTTGCCCTAATGGGCCTTTTCCCCCAAGTTATAAACTCTATGTCTTTGCATGCATGGATGAAGGTTAATACATGATTTAAGTCCTTAAACATACTTTGTGACTATCTAACACTTGCATGGTTGTGGCTTAACCATCAAGATCTGATTTTTATTGTTCTAAACATCTTCAAGAACCAAAAAGGATAGCTCATTTGGACAGAATCTTCTGAAACTCAAAGGACCTCAAGTATGGAACCAAAATGTGACATAAAACAACCCAAAACTAGATCTAAGCATGCAATGATCAAGTTTAGAGCTTTATACCTATAATGGGTCAGAACTGATGTCAAACTTCTGGATCTACAAGCCTTCTCCAAGCTCTTGCTCCTCCTTCTTCTTTAAAACCACCAAAACAACACCAAAATGTTCAAAGCAAGCTCAAGATACATGTAATGGGGTTAGGGTTCGAGTTGAGCAGTGAGAGGAGAAGGGAGGCTGAGAGGATAAGGGTTTTGAAGGTTATAAGTTGTTTAAATAGGGTGGAAACCCTAAATTTTAGGGTTTGCTTTTGGTCGCCCTACGCCCAGCGTACGCATGGGTACGCCCAACGTACACATGGGGTTCCCCCGATCCGCGCCTCATTTGTGAACGCCGTGCGTACACCCTGTACGCCCAGCGTACGCTCCGCCCAAGATTCCCAACTTTCATAATTAAAACTTGAATAAAAAGCAAATATAATACTTGATAAATCCCAGGCGTTACACGTCAGCTTTGACACACTCCTTCAAAATTTTGTCATTTTCATGGCATGAGTTGCCACACTTGCCATGATATATTTTTTTAAAATTAATTAATTTAAAAAATTTAACATTTCAAACATACAATTTTTTTTTAAAACTAAAGATTCATTTAACTAGAAAAATAATTAGGATTTATAAGTCAAAGGTTGATTCTGTAATTTTGGAAACTATTTATATAGAGAGAATTTAGGATGATGTACTTTTTGTTAGTTGACCAAAACCCTAGAGACCTTTTATGTTAAATCTGGAAAATTTTGTTGTCTTCTCCGTTTGCACGCATTCACAATACATGGGAAGTTTCTTCCATTTGTTACCTGCAACTTCAAAAGAAAAATTAAATCCTCACGTTCTCTCCATTTTGCCTAAACCATACACTCTCTCTTATCGGTACAAATCTACCGAGTTGTCAAGCCGAGCTCGGCATGCCGAGGGCTCGGCCCGGTGTACGCCGAGGTAGCCGAAGTGCTTGCCGAGACCACACCCACCAGCCAATTGGAAGACCTAAATAAGAACAAAGTAATTTCTCCGCTTTGCATTGAATAACATTATCAAATGCTTCAATTTCCACAAAAGAAACTCCAACACCGATTAGCTTACTTTTTGAAGGATTAATTTGAAGACCGAACGCAAGATGGAAATATTTTAGAAGACCAACAATATTTTTTAAATTATTTTTGTCCCAATCATATACAAACAATGCACCATCCACATGAAGGGGTCGGAGACTTGACACTCTTCACTTCCTACTTTAAAACTTTTAATGAACCCCTTTTCTTTAGCATCTTCAATCATCACATTGAGACCACCCATTAGGTTGAGAATGTGGATCTCAAGTTACCATTAGAACACCTTAAGTCTGATCAAAACAAAGAAAGGTTAACGAGTTTGAAGAAAAGACTAGTGGGAAAGGTGAAATCATTGTCGACGATGCTATATATCAAGCTCCTTTGTATCAAAGAAGGATTCCAAATCTTTTATAAATTTGAGGGCTACCGAAATGCTAACCGTACCTAATTAATGGCTACCGAAATGTGTTAACATATAGTAATGATTATATAGTAATGATTATGGCTTGGTTTTGTACAATAACTAAACCAAGCCGTTCATACACATCGCTTACATTGTTATGGACGAGGTTGGATTTGAGTGTCATCCCTCCGGTTTTTTTTTGACGGGTCAAAAGCTTAACCCGCTTACCTTAGATCCTGACCCACACCCATCTAACAACCTTTGTTTTTACATTTGCAACCCATTTTTTTGGCAGTTTTATCCCAACATTCAATTGTTTTTAAAAATTTGGTTTCTGTTTTCTTTTTTTATTTTATAATATTTAGCCTAATATTCATTTAATTTCACGAATTTGGTCCAAATCTTTTATAAATTTTCATCAACTTTATTTTATAAATTTGGTTTTTTAAGTTTTTTTAAAACTTAAATTTTTAATCATTTCTGTTCAACTTCATTTACATCTTTTATTTTTTATTTTTTATGATATCGTCCACATATTTTTTTACAAAAATTTTCCAACTTTATGTTGTATGTTTTTTAAAACTTTATTATTATTTTTTTAAAATTTTGTACTACTTCTATTACATCTTTTTTATACTAATTTTTTTTACAAACTCGTTTTATAGTTTGCGATCAAACTCTAGCAACAGACCATGATATTGAGTTGGCAAGTATTGGATAAACAAACTAGACACTAGTCCATGAAGTGTTTGAGTCGGATGGATTTAAACATAACTTATGAAAAAGGATTCTGAAAGACCCAAACCAAAAACATGCTCCTCATGAAAAAACCTTTTATTGTTGGTCACGCGTTCAAGAACAAAATGATGTGCAAGTATTGATTAACATGCAGTCGGACTCTTTGGAGAAAAGTCCTTCATGGGAATGTAAATGGAGAAGAAGGTTGAAAGAATATAAAGGTGAAGAAAGGGGTGAAAATGAACGTTAGTGAACCTAAGAGAGAAAAAAAATTACCCTTGTGCGAGGGGCACCTGGGTTGGCCTAACAACAAAAAGCAAACAAAGTTAGCCGAAGTGACAAAATGTGCGATGTTTTGAAATTGAGATTTTTTGAAACCAGAAAGACCATTTATACAATTTTGTCTAAATATAATATCATAATAATTTCAAATTCTGATCTAAATATAATATTTATGTAATAATTATTCGGTAGATCAATCTGATTCGTTTCAAAGAAAATTCAGTTTTGTACACTAGCTAGTTGGGTCTTGCAAGGAAATTTATATCATTCATTGGCATATTTATTATAGTCTCCCTTCCGCCACCTCTTTGTATTAATTCCCTTTATAAGGTTCATCTACTTCCTTGCTCGTTATTAAATACAACGGTCTATACATATATGATATATCAAATATTGGATTTTATCAATTATTAAAAACCATCATATGTTAAAGTTGGTACTTATGGCAAAACACACCGTAGTGTATATCTAATTTGAAGCCTTTATACTATTAAAAACCATAAACTATGAACTATACATTTTTTTTATTGACCATGTTAGCTAAACAACCATTAACTACAAGTTATAACTGTTTATACAAGACACAAATCAAACATTATACTATTCTTTGTCTCTCTTGTTTATGACCTTTAAAATACGTAGAATATATTACATTTGCTTAAAAAGAGATATAGTGCGACTTCTTTCTTTGTGCTTTGAATAAATACGACAAAATAAAAAGTTGCTTTAACAAATTAGAGTGTTTGGATAAATTCGCTTATTAGCGGTAAGAGAAAACAATTTTTGTAAAGTGTTTGAAGTAGAAATAAACAATAAGATATAAGTAAGGAAGGGAATACTTTTTAAAATTAGTTTATTTAGCTTATTTCTACCACAATAAGCGTTTTCTATCCAAACATTTAAACTTAGCTTATAATGGTAGTGATAAACAATAAACAATAAGCTTCCTCTTTTTTCCTTATCCAAACACCCTCTAAATGAAAAACATAAAATCCCAAAAACACATAAATAAGGTTTTGCTCTTTGTTGTGGATCAAGTACTACCAACGTACACCAATAGTTTGTTAGTTTTTAACCAATAAAGTGAATCTAATTATGATTCTTAATATTTATATATATATATTATAAATTCAATGATCTGAAAGGGTCAGAACAATATTCGTTTCCTGCTTCTCGCGCATACTTAATGTTGCGAAATCATTCCATGGACCAAAGTTTGACTAGCCATGAATCGTGTCTTTTACAGTCTCCATATTAATTACAAACATCAAAATTCACCTGCCCTTCTCTTTGGAAGCATTTTTGTGTAATATAAACACCATTTGTTCATCAAAAGATACTCTGCAGTGCATCACACTAAAGAATCCTACAGAATATTGATCAGTTTTCTGATAGAGAAATTGACCATAATTAACAGTCAAGATAGTATAAAAGTCAAAGGCTTTGTTCTAGAAAAAAGCCACTAATGCGTTATTATTAGTTGAATGCGTAATTAATAGTTGGTGGAAGTTGAGTGATAGACATGTTTCTGAAGAATATTAGTCGGGCATACAAGCTGTACACTCCCTTTTTATACAAATCCAAATTTGGATTTCAAAATTCACAGCAAAGACAACCTAAACTTACATCTTAAACACCCTTCAAGCCTCTTCTCTCTCCCTAAAGATGGTGTTTTTTCTCACCATTTTATCTTTCCTTCCTCTCTTATACATTCTCTACATTCTACTCAGCTTTCTTGAGCGAAAAAAGCATCAGAAATGTTACTTGTTGGATTACCAATTGTACAAACCCTCCGACGACCGGAAACTGCCAACGGAGTTCTGTGGTGAAGTCATTAAACGGGCCAAGAATCTTGGTCTAAATGAGTACAAGTTTCTTCTGAAAGCGATAGTGAGCTCCGGCATCGGTGAAGAAACCTATGCTCCAAAAATGGTGTTTGAAGGCCGTGAAGAAAACCCTACTTACCAAGATGCCATTGTGGAGATGGAAGAGCTTTTTGAGTACACCATCGGAAGACTTCTCCAGCGAACTGGGATTTCCCCGTCGGAGATTGATATTTTGGTGGTCAACATCTCGATGTTGGCTTGCATGCCATCGTTGTCCAGTCGAATCGTAAACATGTACAAGATGAGGGACGATGTCAAAACCTACAACTTGTGTGGAATGGGATGTAGTGCGAGTCTGATTTCTTTAAATCTTGTTGAAAGTATCTTCAAATCGAAGAAAAATCAGTTGGCTATGGTGGTGACATCAGAATCTTTAACACCAAATTGGTATACGGGTAATGACAAATCCATGATACTTTCAAACTGTTTGTTTAGAACAGGGGGGTGTGCGATGATTCTAACAAACAACCCAAGTTTATCTCACAAATGCATGCTGAAGTTAAACTGCCTAGTCCGAACCCACCATGGCGCGAAAGACGAATCCTACGGCTGTTGCATAGAAACCGAAGATGATCAGGGTCGGGTCGGTTTTCATCTAGGTAAATCTCTACCAAAAGCTGCAACTCGAGCCTTCGTGGACAATTTGAAAGTAATCGCTCCGAAGATACTACCGATCCGGGAGCTTCTCCGGTTTGGTATCCTCTCTGTAACCCTAAAAATTCTCAGCAAAGGGAAAGGAAAGTTATCGGGCTCAAGTCGACCGGTGATCAACTTCAAAGCAGGAGTGGATCATTTCTGTCTTCACACCGGCGGAAAAGCAGTGATCGACACAGTCGCTCAGAATCTTGATCTGAGTGAATACGACGTCGAGCCAGCACGGATGACCCTACATCGGTTCGGAAACACATCAGCGAGCAGTGTTTGGTATGTTTTAGGGTACATGGAGGCTAAGAAAAGGCTAAAGAAAGGTGATAGATTGTTCATGATAAGCTTTGGTGCAGGTTTTAAATGCAATAGCTGCTTGTGGGAAGTTGTACGAGATCTGGAAGGAGAAGGAAATGTGTGGAAAGAGTGTAACGTCGAAGACTACCCACCACAAACCCTAATTAACCCATTCATGGAGAAATATGGTTGGATCCAGGACGAAGACATTGAAACCTTTAAGGTCCCAGAGTGAAAATCATTAACAAAGGGCAAAAAAGACATTTTCATTTCGAATTCATTATTTTATTATTTATAGAAAGGAAAAAGTATAAACTAAAGGATAGAAATTAATGTCTCCATGTTCATTGATTGTGTACGTGTACTTGTATTGTTATAAGGAATTCAAACTTTTAGTTCCTAATTTCACTCTCAATTTTAGGGTTTCATATTTTTAAGTTTTAATTAATACTATGTGTTATTGCTAATGTGTTTTCTGTTGAATACTTATGTCTTAAGAATCAGCAAAATTAGTTTTTACTTTTTCTTTCTACTTATCATTTTATATATCCATGTGAAATAGTGACAAATGTCATATTTTAATAAATTTAATAATATTTTAAAATATTTTTCATCATTTTATATAGATTAGAAGATAAATAGGAAAAAAATAAGAACATATTTAATTTCTTTTATTGAAAATATATAATTTTCGTTATTTAGTTAAATAAAAAAGAAATTTATGCTCTTTTAAAAAATAATAAATTACTTAGACGAGTAAAAATTTAATCCGCATCATTAACAATCTATTGAAAAACATATAAATGATTAAAAATCAATATAGCAGGTGCTTTAATTTCAGAGTTTGTGGGGGCAATCTCTTCTTTGATAACACACGTAATTGTGTTAGATGAATTTTGTCCATTTAAATTTATGAAAAGTCGTATAATTTATTAGCTCATAGAATTACGTTGTTGTCTTGTCAACAGTGATGGGTGGATCTTTTAAACCTAAAGTTCGAGTCGGAATAGAAATGAAATTTCGGAGTCAGGAAAAAAGAGATTCAAGACCATGGAGGAACAAGTTTCAATAAAGTGAAGAAGAATCACAACTCGGTGTAAATTTTATGCTAATATACATGGAAGTTGTTAGAATTTAGATTAGGTACTTGATGATGTTAAAAGGTTTCCCCATCGAAATTGAATAAGCACGTTGGAAGGAAGATTTGAAGAATCGGAAGCTGGAGCATTAAACTACAAATCGGCTTGTTTTTATGACCCATGTTTGGCAATTCGTTTTTGATGTTTTTCTTTTTTCATTTACTGATTTAGGGGTAATTGCCTTTGCTTCCACTTAGATGCAAAATAACCCTTAATACATTGTCTTGATTTGTTAGTTGGATTTATAAAGTTTAATTATTTATTATATTTGTTTCATCACATAACTTATGCCTTATAGTTTCAATTTTTATTGCCTAGAATTGAGTTATATATGATATAACACCTTGTTTCAGGTATGAGATTCAATTTTAAATTTTGAGAAAAATTGCTTAGCCATGACGTGGTGAAAGGATCACCACGACGTGTCATCTCTGCATAAAATGTGTGTTGCACATGATCGCCACCACGTGGACACTCATCGGCCAAGATGCGGTGGTGACATGTGTGAAACCCTAAATTTTCAGGTTTTGTGCACTATTTAAAGAAAATGATAGTTAGGGTTTCCTCCACCCTCAGCCTCCATCACCTCCTAAAGTGTTCTTGGGCAAACCCTAGCTTCTTTGTAAGCCTTGAGCTCATTTTTTCTATCTTTTGTGCACTTTTAAGGAAGAAGAAGAAGGTTTTTATGCAAAGATCAAGCAAACAACTCCTCCTCATCCTTGGAATCACTATTTGGACCATTTGTAAGTCCCCAAGTTTCCAACTTGGTGATTCTTTCCTTGTAGATCTAGTCTTCTTAGCAAGTTTTGGTCCATATATGAAGTTTAAATGATGGGATTAGATAAATTTTGCAAATTTATGACTCATCAAGGTTCCTTGATCTTAATACATTCTAGATTTAGAAGTTGGTTGAGTTCTTATAGTTATGCATGTAGTTTTAGGTAATTTTCTCATATTTTGACCTACTTAGGTGAAGGACATGCATGGGTCATGCACGTCCATAAAGTTTGTATTTTTTTGAACCATTAAGGCCCCAAGAAGCATTCTGGAAAGTTAGAACTGAAGGCTTAATGAATTGAGAGCTTAATCCATTAAGTTGTCTCTATGTAGTTTCCACGACATGGTGACTTGCTTGCCACAACGTGGAGACTGGTCTGGTTGCGACTGTTTTGTCTGGACTCCGCCATAGTGTGCTGGAATGAATGCCACGACATGGTAGGGATTTTAATCGGGATTAAGTTGGATGGCCACGACGTGGAGGACAGTTGGAGTTGACTTTGACCATTGACCGTTGACTTTTTGACCTGGTTTGACTTCTAGTTAAATGGTTAGTCTTAGATGGTAGATTAAGAGTTTACCTTATATGATTCATTAGGAGGTGTGTAACACCTGCTTTTTTACTATATGAGCCTGCTAGCTGTCGACTGCGTTTGTGAGGTGAGTCTTCTCATTATACTATATAAGATGTCAGCTATCTTTATGACTCTTGCATGAAATGAAAGGGTTTAGCCCCTGCCACTAGTATGAAAGACTAGGATTTAGCCCTTGTCATTTGCATGGAAGACCAAGATTTGGCCCCTGACACTTATACAAGTAAAGACCATGATTTGGCCCATGGATGAAAATAAGACATGATTTGGCCTATAGCATCCACTTGGGGTTGAAATAGACCCGTTATGTTATATGTGGAATATGGTATTTTGGTGAACTCACTAAGCTTTGTGTTTATGGTTTTATATTTAAATGTTTCATGTACTTATGCTTCCATAGGGAAGGGCCCGGCATGATTGCATTGCATTCACTGGAAATTTTGCACTTATGATTTTGTTAATACTCTGATGTTATTTTGAAGCACCTTTCGATTCTCTGACTATCTTTTGGAAGTAACGAATGAATGATTTGATTGATTTAAAAATGAAAATTATACCTTGTATTTTGGGACGTTACGTAGAATATAGAGGAACAATATAATTATATTAACTTGTGTCTTAATTAGTCTATAACAATAACTTTTAGGACTAAAGATGAACCAAATCTTAGAGTTGGGTGATATATTTGTGAACTTAAATGTATAAGCGAGAATTATATGTCCATATTACTCTTCGGTTGATTTACTTGACCATTGAAATTAAATCACTGGATTAAATCTCTCATAATTCGAACATTTAAGTGATTATTTAGTTAGCTAATTGCATTATCAACGTTTTACTTGCTTTATAACTATTACTATTGGTTAATCGGACCAAGATAGCTAATCATCATACAATCGGTAATTAACTTGTTAAATCCATTGCACTTATACTAAGGTGTTGTTTGTTTTTTCGAAGAGAAAATTCATGAAGTCTGCGGACCACCTCTGCAATCCTCTGTAGCAGAAGAGGTGGAACAAACGGCTGCAACCTATAATAAGAAGCATGTTTGTTTTTTTAACATCTGCAACTGTTGCAGTAAGCTGAAATTTAAATAAACTAATTTTATAAACTGAAAATAGTTCTCAACACCGAAATTTTAATAATTATAGTCTTAAAACATTGAAAGAATACTAAAAAGAACATGTAAAAAAACAAAAATATAAAACTTAAAAAAATAAAAGAAGCTAACAGTTTTATTCTAGAAAAAAACTAGTTGTAAAAAACATAAAAAAAATTAAGAAAGTATTGCAAACGATATTTGCAAAATTCGTAAAAAATTACACACGTTAAAAAAGATGCAGCTGAAACTGAAAATATTATTAACAGAAACGGTAAAAAAATTAAAAAAAATCAAAGTTTTTTTTTTAAATCAAGTTAAAAAAAATTTGTGGAAACTATAAAAAGAAATTGTATCAAATTCTTAAATAAAAGGTTAAAAAAATCAAAGCTTTTAAAAAAAATAAGTTTAAAAAAAAATAAGTTATACCAAAATTCTAAAAAAAAAACACTTGGAAAAAATGAAAGTTGAAGAGGTTTGAAGAGGCAAGTCAAGTGATGCGCCACGCAGCACACGCGTAGAGGTTTTGTAGTCTGAAGCTTTCCAAAAAACAAATTGTTGCGAGAGGAAAAGTGATGCGCGTGTGCCGCGCCGCGCAACAAAAAGTGGTTTGAAGAGGTTTTTTAAAAAAACAAACAACACCTAAATCAACAATAGGATAATAAGGGGATTTGAAATATAAGTGTAAGTACTTTATTTTCTTTGTCTTTAAATCTAGTGAGTAGGTTGAATCTCTGTGAAATTATACTTGTAATCTTTCTTCGAGAAATATTGAATAAGAATATCCCCTCATGTTCATGGATGTATGTTACCATGACCGAACCTGTAAATACTGTGTCTTTATGTATGTATGGTTTTGTGAGTTATCCGCTTTACTTCCTAATACATTCACTTTAGGATATGAGTACAACTTCTATTGAAATTTCATTATCTTTAGACTCATAAAATTCCTCCTCGCCGTTATGGTCACGATTTACCAAAATGTTCAACAAAACCACCTTTACCTTGGCTTTCTGGAGACACCTGAACCTCTATGAAGTCTGGAATCCACCCGCTTATCTCTTTCACCCTGAAAAAAAAAACTTATCGTTCCACCACTATTTTATTGGTCTCCATAATTATCGAGGTCATTGAAGTTTGAACACAAACCAAGACACTGTATCATTTAGTACCCCTTGCATCATCTGAATACAATATCTTCTATAATTTTCTAGAAATTTCTTCAAACTTTTTGCACAACCAAACTTTCATTGTAATCCCTTCCAGATCAATTTGTACTACCCGCTCCTTAACCTCAAACTCTAAAATCTAAGATTGGAGTGTAACACCCGGTTTTGGGGCTAGAATTTTTGAGTAAATTTAATTTTTTATGGAAATAAATTAATAACAATGAAAAAATAAATAACTTAAAAAGTTAGAGAGACATGAGTAATAAAATAATAATAATAATAATTTAAT